TATTACAAACATTGGACAGTAAGTCCTTACCAAAAGAAATTCAACTTTTGGACAATCAGAATCTTGTATGAACTAAACAAAAGCATTCGAAATGTACTCGCGGAGTACTTTTTCAGTACTGTTTGAGTGCTTCTCTCCCAAAATTTGAATTGAAAAGGAATTCTTATATCTGAAGTCTCAAGTTTATTTGTTTTCAAACACTAATGTCATTTGGTATCCACTGTCAATGCTTCTCTCGCATTGTTCACAACAAACAGCTCAATATTTAGTAGAAAAACAAAGTACTCAGAAAGTACTCAACTACAACTCTGCACATTGCTGAAACCACAAAAAGGGTGCATCTTACTTTATGTACTGTTTTTAGATAAATGCTCCCTCTCCCTGAGTGACAACTTGAGAAATATCATTTGCAAACTCACTTCTTGGTCACTCAGTTAAATGGAATTTTACATAATCATTTTTAACAGCTATGTATTTGTGTTTTGTTTGTTTTTTAGATCTGATCTCTTTCCAACAATGCCAAAGCTACGCAAAAAGTCTGCATCTCAATTACGGACAGAAGACAAGATTCGTAAAAAATCTTCTCATTTTCCTACGCGATACACTCAACTTCTCAATATCCCTGTCATGTCTAGTAATGTCATTATTACATGTATGTCCATGTTGGTGATTGTAAAATATGTCAAACTAGCCATGCCAATTAAACAACACTTTTTTTATTTCGTTTATGCATGTAGGTTTGTTTCCCTGTAACTTTACACATAATAAGCATTATCAGGGCGGGATTTATAATTTTTTTTATTTTTTTATTTTTTTATTTTTTTTTTTAATCCGTCCTGATAACCCAGCATACACATTTGATAGTCACGCTACTTTTTACTCAACAGATTTTCATCTCTTATATTTTTTTTTATTTTCATGTCGAACAGTTACTCCGATAATACTATTGGTCAACATTCCTTTAAATTTTGTTTTCCCCTTTAAGGAAATTTAACACCGTACAAACGTTCAGTGTTTTTCATGCAGCAGCCCAGCACTATGTTAGCTACCTCTTGTGCCACGAGGGTTATCATTGTCGGGTTGCTGAAGAAGTGTGTCGCATGCGTACCGCGGGGTGGAAAGTATGGGGCGTCTGTCTCTAACAGGAGCCGGCTAAGGAGAATTTTTTGGCCACTTGCTTCAGACCTTGGCTCTTACGCGACACCAAAAGTGTCAGCCCAATACACAATTTTGGGAAGGCTGAGCACCATTTTTTTGCCTCTTCCCAATTACCAGAAAAACAATGGAGATGAATTCCCCAATGTCAGGGAAGGGACTCTGATACAATTTGAAGACAGTCTTCCTCGGCATCCCGACAATGTAAAACTACGGGCTTGTTCAGTTCAACAGCCACTCGAAGGAGGCGTTTGAGTACGGCTTGTTGAGCCGCACTGTCTTGGTCTCCCCTCGAATAGTCCAACCCAATCTCTGCGAGTGCACAAACCTTAGGATGCTTCGCGATGCGCCTGATTCTTTTCTCCGAGGCATCGGTGAAATTCGTCGCCTTTTTAGGGTGGTATCCCACCGCCGCAAAGATGATGTCGTCGGACACCAATTCTAACCATCTGTCTTCGTTGCTGTGGGTTTTCTCATCGCAGAAGACTGCAATGCAGCCCCGAAGGTGGCGCCTGTCGATGGCTTCGTCTTTCATGAACTGCAGGAGGGTGCCCTTGGTGTAGTTGTACATGTCGAGCAACCTGTCCACATGGCAATGGGCATCAACGAAATTGCCGGTCGGCTGGTGAGTAGGCGAAGCCTCAGGTAGCAGCGTCAGGAGGTGTTTTAGCGTTCGCCAGTGCATTACTGACGAGATCCGGGTAGGGGCCGCTATATTTTTCTCCTCTGGTGTTAGTCCCTGGTGTCTATCGTAGGCGTCCCAAACACTCTTCTCCTCTGGACTATATGCCGAATTTGCGTCGCCCAACAAACGCCGGGCAACGAAATTCGGCAACTCGTCCGAGGACGCCAGACTCAGCCCCGCACACAAGAAATCAACGAAGTCATCCACAAGTATCACTTAATCCGAGAAATGTCGCTCTAAGGAAAATGGGCCATGCAGTTCCACATGGAGAGCGATCTCCCATGGCCTACATTCCCAGCACGAAGGCAGTGGGAATAGGAACCACCATTTGTCTCCTGCAATGTGTTATCTTATGACGTGGCGCTTCATCTTTCTGGTGCTTCTACCGCATCCCGTTTGGTGACACAGCTGGCCGGCTTTCTTTGATGACTCAGGCGATGGAGAGGGGTATGGAGGAGATGGTTCTTCGCTGGACTTCTGTGGAGACGGATGAGATGTGTTTCCCGGCGCTGTAGCTACGTCTAAGGACGGTGATGCACTTTCTACATCAAGGACTTCCTCAGTATAATCCGGAATGAAATAAGCCTTTTCGTCCATGTTTAACTGTATGTTGTGAGCAGATTAAAAGTACATATTCCAAAACAAATGGGTCAAGGGTCAGATATTGGCAAAACCGAGTGCCTAAAAACGGTGATTTCATTATATTAAAAGTTTAATCACTAGTACTTAAACTTAACTTTAACTTTTTGCTTAACTATATTGTTAAAACTGTTATCTGCTGGGTACTCCAGGTGCATACGCATTTGCCTATTACGCCTGCATCATATACATTAATTACTACTTAATTATCTGTTCTTAATATCATTCAACAATTGACTTAGGGCCCATCCCTGTATCGTGCTGGGAGCTTAATCTCCCTACCACTCCTGGTGGTTCGTTTCATGGGCGGAAATCGCTCCTCGAACGTGGGGGGGACAGGTTTTTTTTTTTTTTTCTAGACGTTTTTTTCCAGCTCTCAGTACTTCACAGAGAAAAAAACGGATTTCCTGCAAGTATCCTTAATAAAAGGATTTGTCAGTCTAATTAAAGCCGTCAGTTTTGGAAGGTTTTACCGAGATGGTGGTAAAATGAGAAATGGTCAATTGTGACTGTCCGCACTTGGACTTTCAACACGGGAAATTTTACCCAGACCGCGTGGGAGAATTTAACCGAGCTGTGTCACTGCTGTGTCAGTATTATGATCACCGCGTACGCAGAAAACAAAATGCCGATCACATTTTCAGCCGCCGATACGCACAGTAATATTACACACGACATTTGCATGCACAACATAACCGTTAACATGATATTATTTCATCTTGACACGGTTAAATCTTGACGAAAAACCCTATATTTCTAACGCATTGTGATGCACCGTACATCCAAGCCATGCCGCTGTACGATGTTCCGTGCGGCAGCAGTGCCATTGGTATTCCTTGGTTCCCATCGCATGCTAACAGAATCAAAGCTATAATGTAGGACCGGAACCAGTGACTACGGCCTACGTACGGTATTACCGGACCATGATGAGCCGTGCATGACTACAGTAGCGTAACAGGACGAATTTGGATCGTAGAAAATACCTAACAAACATCGGTGGAGAAAGAGAATTTCTGCAAATTAATTCCCACAATGTGATCTCTCTTTTCTGTGTATGTATTTCTCCGCTGAAAAATATTTGTAACCAGATTTTACCGCTTGTGGACTTCGGCCACCGCACGTGCAGGTTCGTGCGGTCTCTGTATGCATAACAGGGCGCTCGGGCCGGATGTACGCGGCTTTCCTGAGCCGCTTTTACCGACTCGCACTGTCTGCACTGGACTAGCTAATGAATTTCGGGAAAAGTGACCTGGTCAGTTTTCCTGGGCACCCGGTCAATTTTCCTGGGCAGCAGTTGGCCAGTAAAAGTAACCGCTGGACTCAGGAAAAGTAACTGAGAGGAAAACGTCCTAGGCTGTCCGCACTGGACTTAAAATGGGAAAGTACCCATAGTCTCGGTTAGTTTGACCAAAAAAGTCTAGTACTGCGGACAGGGCTTATTTAATGTTGTTTAGCAAGTCGTGAATGCATGCACGCAACCTCAATTTCTTCTTGATGAAAGAGTCCTCATGAGTATAATTACATTAAAAGCAAAATGTGATCACATTCATATCTTCCAAATATACGTCTTCTGGAATCCGAGCAATTGTTTACGAATTCCTCAGCTATGATACGAGGGTCCACTGCTGCTATACGATCCTTGTGCACATGGCAGATCATAAGTTGGGTTAGCCTCTTCTGCGTCATTGTGCTGCGAAGCCATGTTTGTATTCGTCGCAGTGCACTGAATGATCTTTCTGCCTGGGATGAGCTGGTAGGAGATGTAAGGAGAAGTCTTAGCAGTGCTTCAACTTGTGGAAACATCCGGCGAACCTCTGGAAGCATATCTTTGAAGAATTGTCGGTACTCCTCAAGAGAAGAGCACATGAACTGTTTTCTGAAAAAGTCTAGTTCTGGATGAAGAAGGGTGTTGTCCAGCTCAGGATACTTTTCCACCATATCATGGTGAAATTCACCCTTTAAAAGCATAGAGGCGAGTCGACATTGTTGCTTCAGGTCAGTGGATGTGAAGTATTCCCGCAAATTGAAAAGGGCACTATCAATAACCTGAAAAAATTGCACTCGATACAGCTCTTCACTTGACTGGGCTATATACTGCCGCGCTCATCCATCAGTGTGCTTGGTAGAAATTTTCCTATTATGCACTACAAACGGGTCAAGACCTAAATTGTCCACTCTGTACTCAGCAGTTGCAAACATATTCTTGAAAACTTCCTCAAAACGAAGATTTTGAAGCTCTGTCTTTACAATGTCAGCCGCTGCCATCATTCCTGAAATATTCACTCCAGTACCTTGCAATGCCCTATTAAACTTCTCCAAGCACTGGATAACAGGTAGGGATGCCAGCAACCCCAGGACACACTTCCCCGTTGCAATACACTTTCTAATACCGTTTGCGCGAGAGGAAACATTTGTTCCGAACTCACTTGCTGCTTCCTGGAGGGCCTGTAAGGCATCTTTGTAGTTGTTAAGTAAAGACAGGATAGCAGCAGAGCGAGTCAGCCAGCGGGTTGGACAAATGGGTTTCAGCCGGGATGGGGCTTGTTGATCATTGTCATTTGAATGCAAGTGGAGGTACAATTGTTTGAATTTTCCTGAGTTTTTGTACAACTTGCCAAGTTCATGCAAATGGTCCAATGCATTCCTTATAAATGGAGCACTTTGCACTGCTTTTGATGCAACAAGATGAGAGATGTGTGCCCCACAATGGGTATAGCAGGCTAATGGCTGAATTTTCTTTATTTCTGCTTGACACCCAGTGTGTTTCCCTGCCATATTACTGGCGCCATCGTACGTTTGAGACCTTAGGTTGTTCATTGGCAGCTGCAACCTCTGAAGAACATCAGATATCATTTTGCAAAGGGCAGTCCCAGTTGTAGAGGTCATTTCATACAGTCCCACAAAGTCCTCTCTCACTTCAAACAAGTCGTCGACATATCGAATGCATATTGCCTCTTGTTCAGTGCCTGTGCAGTCTTGAGTGCCATCAACAATCAGTCCAAAGTGGGTCGATCTGTTTATATCCTTACAAATATTTCTTAGGACATGATGACTGAACAGTTGGATGATTTCATTCTGACAAGCTCCAGAAGTATACGTTGTTTTTCTTTGTATCCAAGATCCAAGATCACTGTCATGTAAGGAAAGTAGGTGTAAAAGGCCCATGAAGTTTCCTTCCGAGTCCTCTTTTCCTCGCAGTGCCAAACCCTGTTGGACCAGATACTGTTGCAGATACAATCTTGAGGAGGGCTTTTTGGGCTACGGCCTGTTCTTGGCGCAATTGTTTGCTTAGCTGGGTGTTAATGCCACAGGTTTTGTTGCAGTTAATCAAGTTGGAATTGGAAGTTTTGTGAGCATCTGACTTCTGATGACTTTGGAATTTTTCAATTGCTTTTTTCCAATTTTTAAATCCAACTGAAATAAAGGTTTGCTCTTTGTATTTCGCCATCTTCAACAAATCTTGCTTTGCTGCTACAGCACAAGTATGGCACAAAATCCCCTCCACATTTGGATCGACATGAAGCCATGGGAAATCTCTAAACCATTTGGGCTGAAACTTTAGTGATTTAGTTCGTAATTTCTGTACTGGCAAAGATGACAGATCCGAGGGATGGTTTGGTTCCTTTGTTGTAGCTGAAGATGTGGAGATTGGACTGCCAGGTGTGCTAGCCGATTTGGAGACAGGGCTGCCAGTTGTGCTAGCTGAGACTGGGCTGCCAGGTGTACTAGATGATGAGAATGGGCTGCCAGGTATATGTGTTGATTTGGATACTGGGCTGCCAGGCATGCCAGAAGAAACTGGACTGCCAGGTGTGCCTGCTGATGTGGATTTGGAGACTGGGCTGCCAGGTGTGCCTACTGATGTGGATTTGGAGACTGGGCTGCCAGGTGTTCCTGCTGATGTGGATTTGGAGACTGGGCTGCCAGGTGTGCCTGCTGATGTGGATTTGGAGACTGGGCTGCCAGGTGTGCCTGCTGATGCGGATTTGGAGACTGGGCTGCCAGGTGTGCCTGCTGATGTGGATTTGGAGACTGGGCTGCCAGGTGTGCCTGCTGATGTGGATTTGGAGACTGGGCTGCCAGGTGTGCCTGCTGATGTGGATTTGGAGACTGGGCTGCCAGGTGTGCCTGCTGATGTGTATTTGGAGACTGGGCTGCCAGGTGTGCCTGCTGATGTGGATTGGAGACTGGGCTGCCTGCTGATTTGGATGCTGGATGGCCAGATCTGTGAATGGAGATAACTACACATTTAAATCAATGAAACTTTGATGTCTAAAAATGCTCTCAAAAGTTGACTTAACACTGCAGGTATCATGAATTAATAAAATACTGTCATGAAATTCCTTTAGTTGCCCAAGATTCTAACAAAGAGATTTTGTAGTCATTGTAATGGATATGGCATCATTTTGAAATTAAATATGTTGCATATTTTAGCTGTTATATTTCTATTTTGAAATCACAGAATTCATTCATTTACTGATTCAGCAATATGATGGTCAAAGTTCATTTCCTTAAACTTTGACATGTAATCTATGTCATCAAGACCCCAAAGTACACAGTCTGGGGATGCTGCAGAAGCCATTTCAATATTGACAAAAGCAGGGTATACGTAGGCCTACATGTACCCACTTTGAAAATAGAAAGGATACATTTCTCTCTTGAACGACTATATGCGCAAATATTCCGCAAAAATGTTGAGATGAGAAAAGGACATTTTAATAACACGATACAAATTTACCTTTTTGAAACTGGTATTTGGAAAAATGAATCAAGTGTGAAGCTTTGCCTCTCCTTTTTTTTATTAAGTGTAGGTGCTGGCTTAACAGAAGGATGCAGACCTGTATATCAAACATCAGACAATAAACAATATTACTTTACAATAGTTTAATACTTTATAAAGTCTGGAGCAAAAACGATGGGTTTTTTCCTTTTGGCTAAATGAGATTTTTTTGGTCCGGTTCATGATGCATAAATGAAAAAAAAAACAAATTAACAACTATGTTGATGTGCATGACAAACTGTGCCCTATGTGCTGCGTGATTATATATGTCTACTACAGGGATGGTCGGATGAAAGTTTTATTTCTTCACTTTTTGGACATCTTCAAATCTATATTTTATTTGTGCACAGAGTCCAAGGTTATGTGACACTCTCGTTTTCAATAGTACATACTTAAATTTGAAGACGTTGATGAATGTGTCTTCACTGGCAGTGGTTGGTTTCCTGGGACTGGCTCTGGTTCTAAAACATATATTATGATAGGAATGGAATTAAAACAGATGGACAAAAAAAAATATATGTACACATTTGGTTCTACTAAGAAAGATCAATGAGTTGAAATAATTTTATCAACGGAAACATTTCTACTTCAAAGAAAATAATTGACAACTGCCCATTTATCAAACTTGGCGATTGAATATGGCACGCTCGTTATTCCTATACTAGGAAAATAAAATAATAATCCGAATATTTGACACATAATTCTAAACATTCATTATGTGGAAGATTCATTATTCCAGAGGTAACTAATCCTGAAATAGACTTTATTATAACACGATTTTCGTTATTCCCAAAATTATGGGAAAAACAAGGTTCATTTCAAAGGTTCTTCCTAAAACAAAATACAGTTTGCTCCTACTTTGTGGTTACTAGTTCTCATTTTCGGACTATTGAACACTTTTGGGGATTTACAAGCTCCTTTTCGTTTTCGGATAAACGTACATTTAAAATAATGAGCTGTAAGAGTTTGTTTGGTTGAAGTACTTACCAAGACTGACATAGTGCTTCTCGTGGATGTGTCCCAAAAACAGTGTGTCCTGGGCCCCGTCCTCCTCAATAAAATGAAAGTAAAAGCCACCCTTAGTACTCTCTGCTGCACTTGTCACAATTTTAATGTTTACGTGAAAAATTCTCGCAGCTGCACGGATCTCCGGCTCTCCTGCCCAAACAGAGTCTTTCCTCATACTTTCTATGTATTCATCGGTTATTATAGCCCTTAGGTCATCGGGAGTCTGCAGAATAATATGTAAGTACTACCAAATTATGTTGAACACACAATATTGAAGGGAAACCGTGTGTATTTTTTTTATATTTTTCGGTAAAATATTTGTTGTTCCAATAAGAAATGCATGAATACAGAATTTGAGGTAGTAGTTGAGAAAGGGGTGGATCTGGACCAGTTAATTTGCATGGGTGAAATTCTCTCCATTAGTTTTTAGTGCGATTTTACCCACGCAAATTAGCTGGTCCAGAAGCACCCCTGATGTTAAATGCATGTACATGTATATATATGTACTAAATACAGATCTTAAACTACTAACACTAAAATTCATAAACCTTATGTCAGGAGTAGGAACCTGCTTAAAAACATGGTGTTAAATGCCAGTAAAGAATTTCAGCAATTTACCTCACTTAGCATATGATCACAAATGATCTTGCGAAGATCTCGATGACTAGGAACACCTGTTGCTCTAATCCTTTCCAACTGATCCTGCAGTGCTCTAAAGAAGCAATTCCCATCTCCGAGGACATTTTTCCTGAGCCGCAGACCACATTTCTTAGCATTTTCATAAAGATGAACCTCATGTATGTCTGCAGAAATGATAATCAAGGTACAACATTTCAATTTTAATACATTTGTACTGGTGGACAACAAGTTGTCAGATGAGAAAAACGAATAATTAGTCTATATACATCCTGTGGTACATTGAGCATTTCTTTGAATCTGATTTTAATTTATTTTTTATCAGAAATATTTGTAAATAGCATGCATTAGAAATATATGGGCACATGCATAAGAAACAAGGTGAACATGAAAACGTATGAGATCAAGTTATTTATGGAGTCTTACAAATTTTATGGTCCTATAAAAATAAACACAAAAATGAAAATGTTTGCTTTCTTTGCTTTGTCACACATACCGACACCGAACAATGGAGTTAACCCACTGACACTTTGAAAGATATAGATTCCGACCCCAGGATTCATTAAGACCTCAAACTCTAACAGCTGCATAAAAATTAAGATTTTAGAACAAAAATACTTGAAATGTACTCGGCCGAGTACTGTTCGAGTACTTTGCTGCTTAAAACTAAATTTTTATGTAACTGTGTGAATCTGAAAGCTTCAATTTATTTTGTAATCTTACCTTTGTGCAACCGCCATCTAACGTCCATGTTTTCCAATTTTATTCACACCTAACCAGTTCAATATTTGCCAGTTAAATTGGTACTCGAAAAGTACTCAATTACAACAATTCAACAGTGGTAGATACCTCTTGCAATCCTTTTGACAGTACTCAGCAGTGGAGAAACAGCCTGCTGACGCTTCAGTTGTTTTGGATTCCTCTGGATTACACACAGAACAAACACGAGGCAACTAAGATGTTACTTTCCTGTAAGAATTGGATTGTAATGAACTGTACAATAGGGGTGGGGTGTCACTTCCAATTTCAGTACTGAGCAACCAGCATGGGCTTGTCAGAGTGTAAATCCCATTTTCAGTCTAAAATGCCCAGTCGCCTTTTTCTGTTTGTGGGTATTTTTTGTTCTTTTGGCTTTTTCATGTTACTGGGTTACCTATGACCCAATTCCCATTTTTTTCAGTTGCCCTTTGACATGTTTAACTCTTCGGGGAAAACCGAAGACTTAAATGACCCCGTTTGCTCTAGTTGTGTAATGAATCACCCAAAATGGCCCCTTATTTCTAAAGTTGTCTACCGAATTACCCTCATTGCAATGACTTAATTATTTCACACGTATCTAGACAAGTACCGTGAAAGGTCTCTATAAAATTCAGTGTAGGCTTGTCACTTTGCATGAAGTTCCACTGCCCCCACCCCAGACTAATTCAGATTTTTCTAACGTGTTTTTCTGTCATTTAGATGACAGAAAAAAACCCATTTGGTCTCAGATTTTCCTCATAATGATAGGCCTGACTAAGGCTTATCTACAATGAAACTGATCGTGATAGCTTATTTAGAGCTTAAGGTTAGGCAACACCCCGCCCCCCCCCAAAAAAAAACCCCAACAACAAACAAACAAAGGCGGGGGGCAGTAGAGATCTACTCTAATAGAGTAATTTGATGCAAGGGTTTATACTTTATACGACTGTAGTGTAGAGTAGGAAAAGGGTATTTGATTTCAGACGTTGTGGCGTTCTGCTCCGAAAACTTTCATCAATTCACGGCTCCCGTGATTTTTTTACATCACGCCATCCAGCAGGAACTCACTGCACTGCAGCGCGAGTCAGAAATCTGGCCAAAATTCTTTTTCTAGAATATTTAAAACTGTTATAGGCCTAGGCCTATTTCCACATCGAGGAGCTAATTCAGTTATACGCCTAGCCAACATGTTACTTTACAAAAAGGCAGTGGATATTTTGCCGGAGACGGCAAACCTTTAGTAAACGTTAGTTTGCCGGATATGCACTGAACATGCGTTACTAGTGTTTTTGACAAATTTTAGTCTGGCTCCATGCCAATATTATCGTTGTAACTTCGTATTCACAAGATAGGAATCAGACCAATTTATAATTTCGGACTTTATTTCCCTTTAAAAAAAATCCTCCAGAGCCACAAATCTGAAAACGAAAATGTTATACTCTGCAATAAAATGTTTGATACATGTTAAAATAATAAAAGAAGAATATTCTTATTTATTTGGGGGTGGGAAATTTTTTTTTAGAACAGTGGCGGTGTACAGAATCAAACCCGGGTCATCCTGCTCACGAAAGCCATAGCTTAACAACTGCACCAAATGTGCTACACGACTTTTGGAGGAAATTTAATACATCTTATAATTCAGCCCTATCTTAAAGAGTACAGCGCCCTCTGTTGATATGGATTGCCGCCGGCAAACCTTTAGAAAACATTAGTTTGCCGGCATTACCTCCGGCAAAATATCCACTATATTCAAAGCGAACTTTGTCAGAAACTATTATTAGCCTAGGCCTGCTGGAGACCAATTCCCAAAAAGTAGGCTGATAAAAGCGATCTGGAACTAGGTCTAGTTTCGAATCGAAGGCTCAGGCTCAGACTTGATCTTTGGATTCAGATTCGTACAAGCTTCAAATTAGGACAACGATTCCAGAAGCCCAAGCCTGAGCCTACGCCTTCAATTCGCAAACGACCCGAAAATCAGGAGTTATTATTAGTTAGCCTAACGTTGCATGTTGGAAACGACACCTCGTAGACTGCAGCTTAAACCACGATTATATATAGGCCTAGGCCTAGAATATCACCAAAAATAGATGTAAAACCATTACTCACAGGCTGAGCTGAAGACTTTCCAGTTCCAGCTTTCCAAAGCTGGTCAGTCGACCCATTTTTTCCCCCGAAGTTTGAGAGATCGAGATGTATCACTCAGTGCTGCGCACAGAAGTTTGGTCTTTTGCGAACAATTTGTGAGGCCCCTAGGACGGCCCTCCACCACGCGGTCTATTGTGCGGCAATGCTGATGAGTTGGGTACTATACCCATAGCCTAGCGACCACTAGGAACGTGGCTAGAAACAAGACGTGAGTCATGCATGAGCCTAGCCCAAGCCTGCACACGGGGTATGACCGTAAGTATGGCGCCCCACAGCTAAATAAAAATAATAAATTAAACCATGAAGAAATTTGCGTGTACACTGCTTTTTAGACATTACAGCCTGCAGTGGTAAAATATCAGCTGTTTGTAGTATCAACATCATCGTACGCACTAGCCTAAAACCACGATAATATCCCCCGAAATTATATTACTCACAAAAAGTCACAGGCTAAACTGACAACTTTCCACTCGTAATATTGCCATGGGGTATGGCAGCCATAGCGATTGCGGGCCGGAGTGGGGCCGAATTTGTAAAGGAGTAGCATATGACGTACGCAGGCAACATTGTGTGTATGTAATTTAGGCTGCATCCGAATCAACTGTCAAGAGCTAGGTCTAGGTCCGCGCCCATTGAAAATACGCGGGGACGCGCTGACAATAGACAATAGGCTGTGGGAACTATAAAGAGTAATCTGGATGCTTGATCCTCCACCCAACTGTAGTACAATAAACCATCATTAATAACAAGAAGAGAAACATTTGTCCAAAAATACTTAACGGCAGGCGATATTATTTGTAATTCATGTTGTGATGGACTAGTTGATGTTTTCATCCATTTTACTAGGTGTTTTAGATCTGGGTCCTCTAATTGCAATTGTCCAAGTTGCGTATTGGTGTACTTGGTAAAGATGGAAGTACTATCTCCGTCCAACAAACGCCGGTCAGTAGGATAGGACGCTCCATGATTACTCTGACAGGTATTGCTAGATTGTGGGGGTACTGGTTCATGGACTTCTAATGAATGGGAAGTCTCATCCACGTCCAGCAAACACCGGTCTGTGGGATGAGATTCACCATTATGTTGTAGAGTCAAAGTCTCTGAACAAGGGGTTGTTACGGTGATCTCTCGTACAGCAAGAGGAAGGACGTCATCGACGTCG